TGCTACAGGGAGCAATGTGTATGATACATGCGAATTGATTGCGTGTACATATGGTGGTTGACTCTGGTCAGTGTAGGCGGAGGTGAGAGGTCACAGGGCCACTGTCGTCTCATCAATAAAGAGGTTTGGTGGTACCAGAAAGATTACAGGTTTAGTTCTCCGTAGGAGTGACCCATGAACTACACAGTTAGACCACCCGTAGTTGCTGTGCCTTTGTGTAGTGCGTTTGAACCCAGTTTGATGGAGGGGAAGTGACCCTGCAATTAGTGCACTGCAGCTGGAGATGGTTTGGATAAAGTCATCAACTAAATGCACTGCAAAAACTAATTTTCATACCTGCAAACTAGTCGCTTTTTGGCGAAATTCGCCGTTTTGAATGAAAATGTCATTTATGTGAATCGTCTAGATCCGAAGAGAGAGAGAGAGAGATTGCAAGCTCGTAGACAGGAGTGTGTTCGACCAAAGTCCCTTTCTCGGTTCGACTTGAAGCAGCAATGCGCAGACCGTTAAACAGACACAAAGTTCGCAATTTGTAATACAATATTGACTATTTTTGCTCAAGTTCACTGACGAAGTGAGCGTCACTCAAAGTGATTGAATATTTGGGTTGAACTGTTCACTCAATCAAAGCCACAACAGAACAGTTTTGTGTATCCGAGCAACACAGTGTTGTTTTCGAGACTCGATACTGAATGAATCCACGTTTTTGAACGAATCAAGTGAGTCAATGATTCAGTAATCCATTCATAAAGATAGTAGTCACGTGCCTCGTTTTTTAATGAATCAGCCGTTTGAATGAATGACTAATGACTCTCTCATTAAAACAGTCATTTACCGTCATCTACTGGTGGTTTGGTTTCATATTTAAAAGTATTGCATTTTTCTCAACATTTTTAACTTGTATGTTCAAACATATTGAAAACATTAATCTTATAAAATTATTTATGCATTTGAAATTTTGTGGTGTAATTGCATTTATGGCACCTCAGCTTCATTAAACAGTCTGTGTAAGTACATCTAATGCCACTTCAGATGCAGCTTCTGTTTTCTCTGCAGTGAAAAGATGGAGTTTGTTGATAGTATGCGCACTCTAATGTGAACATTAAAATTTGCAAAAATAAATGACCACTGCTCACAAAGAGAAGTATGAACACCGATGACAACAGAGTTGCACTGTCCAAAATGTTTGTGGTATAAATGTGATTTTTTACTTGAAACATATGTTGTCTTTTTCCTTTACTTTGTTGTCAGAGTGCACCAGAACGCTTTATTTACGTTAAATTCTCAAAAATTTTCCTCTTGGGGGATGGGGGTTGGGGGACCCCCTACAAAGGTCATATTCAGAACTGTCACCTTTTTGACCTCTTGTGAGTTTGCAGGTATGATCTTAATGCATTCTGTACTCCCTCTAGTGCCATACTGTTTAAATGTGCTGCAAAGTGTTTTTATTTGTGTTTTTTCGTGCTCCTTTCTTCCTCCTCCTAAAACCTGTCCCTTTCTGTTGTCTCCATAACACACTTCAGATACAAAAATAATAATTACTTCCTGAATGGCTATCGGTACGTTTGGCTGGAAAAGGTGTACCATACCTCCAGCTTTGACCGTCTGTTCTCCATGCTAACGGTAATGTCAGACTAAGAGAACTCATGATCCCAACCTCCTCGTCCTCCTCCATTCTCCAAGGGCTGAGCACAAGCATACAGTTAGCGTCGCCACTCTGAATGGTCACCTTCCGTTTCTGGCGGGTCTCCTCACTTTATGTAGTGTTGGGAAGTTTAAGGGTGGGTGGAAGGTTCTTGACCTCAAGTGTCCTTTGTGCAACAATGATCATTTAAATGGTAGCTTTCATGGACTTCCTCATTAAGGTGACCAGTCAGATGAGGCCATGGACTGTACATCTTCCTCTCACACCACAGAATGCACCTCCTTCCTTCATCTTCCTCTTAACCTCCCTCTCCCCCCCACTCTTCAGGCATCGCTCAGTTAACCTCTTCCTCAGTGGCTATCAGAGACTTTGGATAGAGACAGAGGAGTACTCCTTTGAGGAGAAGCTAGTGCAGGACCTGGCAGTAAGTACCGGGCGGGCATCAGCGCTGCCCTGTGTGCTGTGTGTGCCCGCTGGTGCCTTCTCGGCGGCCGAATGCTCTCTGGCCAGCACTGTGCCCGCTAAGGTGCGGGAGCACGTCTCTGCCCGCCTCATGTACTCATCCTGGCCTGTGTTCAGCTCTGCTGGTTACATGACACACTTTCGACCGAGGCACAGCAGCCAAGGCATGCATGAGTTTCGGCTGAGCCTCAGTTCCCGCCATCTCACTAGAAAAGCAGTCTGTTTCAGCGCAGCCGTGGTAAGAGGAGCGGACGTTCCCCGTGACGCTCTGCTTTGTTCTTTAGGTGTCGTCTTTCTTTCGTAAGTCTCGTTGTTGTGAGAGTCGGTGGCATGTTCACCTCATGTAGAGATCATGTGTCAGCTGAAGTTCAGTCTGCAGTATAAATCGACCCGCCTGAATTGCTCATCTTAAATGAGAATATATAATATATTATTCAGGGTTCCCACTCTTTCATGAACACCAGATTCAAGGACTTTTTAAAGCACCATTTATTTTATATCAAGCACCTATCAAATTCACACCCCAGAATATGTAGTGTCATGAAAGACCTTACAGTACTTAACATTTCACTTACACTTAACATTTACATTAAAAATTTCAGAGTAATAATGTTTTGAATGTGTAGGTTTCATAAATTTAGACCGTTTTGAGCAGTTGTGTTCAAAAGAATTTAATGAAATCCATTGAAGTCAGTACTGGTGATGAATAAAATTCAATTTCTAAAATATTGATAAAATATGCATCAAACTGATTTTTGCTGTAGTTATTGTACAAGATTTAAATTGGAAAGAATTTCTCAATTTTTAAATTAATAAAAAGTGGTTAAATGTTGTAATAACATGGTAAAACCTGTTAACATTAAAAAT